TCAGAGCGCCCAAACCATTGATTTCCATTTGGTTTTCCAAGGTTTTTGGCTTCCTCGCCTTTTCGCGTTTCCGACGCTCCAAGACGGCCCAAGAAGCCTCCAAGACCACCCCAAGAGACCTCCAAGAGAGGCCCACGACCGTCCAAGAGAGCCCCACGACAGCCCAAGAGGCGCCCGAGACGGTCCAAAAGGACCCCAAGAGGGCCCCAAGAGGGGCCCAACATGGAGACCACGAACCGAGAATCCGAGCCTTCCGCTCCAAGAGGCCCCCTGGACGCCCCAAGAGGCTCCTAAGAGGCCCCAGCAAGCGACAAGGGGCCCGAATAATGCAAAACGGAAACTGCAGAATGTTGTCTTGTTCCCTGCGATCGTATTCACGAGCCGCCACCTTCCGAAACAGAAGGTTCAGGTGGGCAAAGAATGGTTCCCGCCTGCGAAATCACCCAAAGCCAGCCATCCATAAACAAATAAACGACCCAGCAACACCCCATTGACAACGATCGCACGGGCACTCGACAGCCGTGCACCAATACGGGCCGGCGGAATGAGCGAAGCGATTCAATAATTGATCGTGTTGTGGTTGAGTACGGGGCATCTGGTGGTTGAGTGGTTGTCGTAATCGCGATGCTCGGGAGATGCCGACTCCCAGAGCCCGGAACAATATACGCGTCAGGATTTGGAAGTAAGGTATGTTGAAGCCAGCCGAATCCGCTTCCAGCCTGGCCATTGTACATCGGGCCACTAGTGAATTGATGCATGCGCCTTTTTCGACCCTGATGTCGGCGAGGGCTGTTCCCGAGGTGAGCTGTCGCTCATCCTCGAGGTTTTCAAGTTTGCTGCTTAGGAGGTACAGGATATAAATGACTCCATCGGTGCGTCTAGCGTGTAAGTTGACGCCGTGATTGATGATGGTAGACGGTACCCTCATGGCCAGGGTCCTGGCGAGACTCCCTATACCGCGCTGTAGCGCGGCGGCCTGTTGAGGTGGAGACATGTTTCCGCTTGTGACGTTAAGCCATGCGTGTACTTCACGAGCGAAGTCGAGGAATGGTGCATTGCCTGCGGGGTCCCAATGGGGGCCCCGAGTGCGTGTTTCATCCGGTCCTCCTCCTCGCATGTACCCCACTTCCAAACCAGAACACACCAGTCTAATCCCAACTATGGTAACCTTGACGTAGGGCATGCTCATATTGTAGTTGACGATGTCAGAAAGAGCATGATCCACCGCCGCTTTACTGTGGAAAATTCACCCCCCTCTTCCTCGGGAGCCCGGGGTTCCCCCCCCATCAAAACATGATCGACCCACGAACCCGGAAAGGAATGTAGACATGTAAGGCATTGCAACACTTCAAAGACACCTGATTGGGCGACGGGCACATGCAATGCTGAATGTATCGATGATGATGTACTGTGCCGAGGGCTGTGCTGTGCTACGCAGTGCTGAACTGCGATGTGCAATGTCGCGATTGTGCTCTATATAGCGTTGTGGATCGAGTCCTCCCTGCCATCCGAGTCCTCAACGAACTGATCTGGAGCGTAAGCTCGAGCTGCCTGAGCAGATGGTAGCTGCCCCAGAACTAATCGACAGAGGGAACATGCCAGGAGGACGCGCCGCGGAACGTCCCAAGGGACGCGCCAGGCGACGTGCCATGGGGACGCACCGCGGGACGTGCCAACGGGACGCGCTACGGAACGTGCCAATGGACGTGCCGAGGGACGTGCCAGGGGACGCGCCGCGCGACGTGCCAGGTGGACTCGCCACGGAACGCGCCAAGGAACGTGCCAAGGTGCATAGTTGAGTGTATCGATCTTGATGTACCGTTCCGACGGCTGTGCTGTGCTGGGCCGTGCTGAACTGCGATGTGCCATGCCGCGATTGTGCTCTATATAGCGTTGTGGATCGAGTCCTCCCTGGCATCCGCGTCCTCACCGAACTGATCTGGATCGTAAGCTCGAGTTGCCTGAGCAGATGGTAGCTGCCCCAGAACGTCCCAAGGGACGCGCCGGGCGACGTGCCAGGGAACGTACCATGGGCACGCACCGCGGGACGTGCCAAGGGGACGCGCTACGGAACGTGCCAATGGACGTGCACCGCGCGACGTGCCAGGGGGACTCGCCACGGGACGCTCCGCGGAACGTGCCAGGCAACATGCCAAGCTGCAATGCGAAGGGTATCGATATTGATGTACCGTGCCGAGGGCTGTGCTGTGCCTGGGCGACCTGGACACGTGAAAACACGCGTTTCGCTCAAGACGTTGTCAGCACATCCTCATGCTAGACATCCGCCTGGGCGACCTGGACACGTGCTAACAAGCGTCTCGCTCGAGACATCCTCAACATATGCTCATGCTAGACATCCACCTGGGCGACCTGGACACGTGAAACAAGCCTCTGGTTCGAGACATCCTCAACAAATCCTCATGCTAGACATCTGTCTGGGCCACCTGGAGGCGTGAAACCAAGCGTCTCGCTCGAGACATCCTCAAGACCTGGGCACGTGAAAACAAGCAATCCACTTGAGAGATCCTCAGAATTCAAGTCCCCAGGAGAGGACAATCTATAACACAAAACAAGCGTTTCGCTGGAGACATCCTCAACAAATTCTGTACACATAAGCGTTTCGCTCGAGACATCCTCAAATTTTAATTCTCCGGCCCTACGCGACCTCGTTACTTATCGCAAACAAAAATTCGCCAGCCCTACAGCCGTCAGAACTGGGGGTAAACCTACTAAAAGAGAACCCTGGGCCTACGCCCTTTCCGGGAAATATCCTCTCCCTGCTCGAGCCCCCCCCCTCCCCCCTCCCTTCCCCCGGCAAGCCCTCCCCCCCCTCCAGAAAACTGGGGGGAGGGGGTCACTACCGGTTCGACCCCCCCCCAAAAAAAAAACCGGGGGGGGTCACTACCGGTTCGCACCCCTCCCCCCACCCCCTCGCCGCCAGCAAACTACACCCGAGGCCCACCACCGTCCTCACCACTGCCCTCACTCACCATTGTCCCCACCACTTCCGCACTGTCCCCACTGTCTCCACCATCCACCAGAGCCCCCACCACTATCGCACCGTCCCCACTGTCCCCGCCACTGTCCCCACCACGGTCCCACTCTCCCCACTGTCCCCGCTGTCCCCACTGTCCCCACCACTGTCCCAGTGTCCCACTGTCCCCACCGCTGTTTCACTGAGTTGTCCCACTGTCCCCACCACTGTGCCATTGTCCCCACTGTCCCCGCCCCTGTCTCCATTGTCCCACCACCGTCCTGACCACTGCCCTCATCACTGTCCCCACCACCACCGTCCCCACCACTGTCTAAGTGTCCCCAGTGCCGCTGTCCCCACCACTGTCCCACCGTCCCCACACCACTGTCCCTTCCAGCGCCGTCCCCACCACTGTCTCACTGTCCCCGCTGTCCCTACCACTGTCCCACTGTTCCCACCACTGTTCCCGCTGTACCCACCAGTGCCCCCACCAGTGTCTCACCGTCCCCACCGCCCCCACCACTGTCCCCACCACGGCCCCACTGCTCCCACTGCCCCCGCCGTCGTCCCACCGCCCCACTACCCCACTGTCCCCACTGTCCCCGCCGCTGTCCCCGCTGCACCACTGTCCCATTGTCCGACCACCGTCCTCACCACCGCCCTCACCACTGTCCCCACCACTACCGTCCCCACCACCGTCCCACTGTCCCACTGTCCCCACCATTGGCCCACCGTCCCCTCGCCACTGTCCCACTGTCCCCAGTGTCCCCGCTACTGTCCTCACTTTCCCCACCACCACCGCTCCCACCTCTGCCCCACTGCCCCCACCGCTGTCCCACTGTCCCGAGGAGCGGGAGTCGTTTGCCGGGGGCGAGAAGGTGGGGGGGGAGGGGTCGAACCGGAAGTGGCCCCCCCTCCTTTTCATGATGGACCAGGGGGGTGGGGGTTCGAACTGGTAGTGGCCCCCCCCGGTTGTCGAGCGCGGGGGGGGGGAAACCCCCAGCAGTGACCCCCCCCAATTTTCTGCCAGCAGCGGCAGAACACGCTCTGCCTGATGTCAGGGTCTATGTCGTTGGTAGTTGACGCACCCGTAGGGTTACGATTGGGTGTTTGGTCTTACGTGGCAGCCAGTTTGCGGATGGGTGTGGGGGTTCGGCTTGTGTGCGGCATGCTGCCACGCGGTGGGGAGATGGATGAATAGGCTCGTAAATTACCAATTGGTCGAATAGTTTTGGGAGTGTAGTGGCTGATCGCTGGCGTGGTAAGTTGGCATGTGCATAACACCTGATGTAAAACCAACCCCGCTACCAAGTGTCATCTTTGGTCAGGAGGGTGTTAGCCGAGACCCTGCTTAGGATGACGTCGTAGACGTATCACGGTATCCCATAGCTTATCCCTTCTTGATGGGCAGGACGAGAGATAAGAGACAAGACGTACGAGATCATGGTGGATCATCGGTGGATGTTGCCTTTATTCATCACTCAGATCCGATAGTGCCTCGCAGGCGCGATGCAGTCAAATAGTGCAACGCTACCTTCAGCCAGGTAGCGCCAGACGTAGGCACGACGTTCGTTATACCAGCCCCCCTCTATGACCTCCTTCAAAGTTGATGAGGCTCCTCGGTGGAAATTGCTCCAACAGGATTGCTTCGTGTGTGGGGGGTGAAACACTCGAGGGTACGAAACGCCTGCCCGCCAAGACACGAGGTGCGTGCCCTCACCACCGACTTCCCTGCCTCTGCGTGCCATCTCGAACATCCGCTCGCGCTCGTGCCCGCGCGTCCCCGCGCGCCAGAAGTCGCGCGTGCGCGCGCCGCCGCACGCGCCTGCTCAAAACCCTCCAGATGCGGCAGCGTGAGACTCGTGCACTTCCCATCCCTAGACCTCCGCTGTTGGCCCTGGCACCCTCGACCCCAGGACTGGCTTTTCGTCGCGGTCGATGTGTTGGTGTCCCCGGAGCCCGGAGGCGCCACGCGGAGGTCGAGGTCGCAGGAAGAACGCCGGCGATGTCAGGCTTGGGCTTCCGCCGAAGTCCTCCGTCCGATTGAGGAGGTAGAGCCGCCTCTGCTGGAACTTCTCATGGCGCTCCTTGCTGCGCCTCTCGAGCTCCTCCTGCTGCGTCGTCAGTCTCTCCGCAAGACGCTGCTCTACAGCATCGGTCTTCTCCTCGATCCTGGAAGGCTCCGAGATGGCGCATGGAACTCGCTGGGCTTACCCTCCTCGTCTTCCTCCCCCTCCTTCCCAGCTCCCCCCAGAAGCCCCAAGAGCGGGCCACATTTCTGAATCCGACTTCTTCCTCGTCGTTGCAGCCCTCCTCCTTTCTCCTCCTCCGCCTTTCCCTGGCCCTCCTGCTCCTCCTGCTCCTCCTGCTGCTGCTGCTCCTCCTCCTCCTCCTCCTCCTCCTCCTCCCCCTCCTCTTTCATCTCCATCCTCTTCTTTCTGCTCTTCTGTGCGCAACTCCTGTTCCTGATTGCTCATCACATGTTGCGATGGGACAATTCTGGGGGTCCAGGTCTGCCGGCACACCCGTCGGATTAGACAAACACATCAGCTCAATAGAAAGGGGTGGGTGGGAGGACTAGGATGTTAGATATGGCGCGAGCCTGCCTAGCCTGTATATGAATCCCACTCTCCTCTCTCCCCAGATGCTGTCTTCATGTTCCTGCCCATCCCGCGTGCTGCTTCTTCTGCACACGATTGCCCCGAACTTGCTTTCGATATTGCTTTACCCATGAGAGTGCACACCCTTTCACAAATTGGTCTTCTCGCCGCAGCGATGGCCACACTTCAGGACCGACGCTGCGCCCCCTGTCGTTCAGATTGGCATTCTCGCCCCAACGCGGGCCACACTTCTGGATCCGATTCCTTCCTCGTGGTTGCCGCCCTCCATTTTTTCCCTTCCTCCGCCTTTCCGTACTCCTCCTGCTCCTTCTTCTTCTGCTGGCGCTTCTCCTCATTCTCCTTTTCCTTCTCCTTCTCCTTACTCCTCCTCCTCCTCCTCCTCTTCCTTCTGCTCATACTATTGCTCTCATCCACTCTCCTCCCATGTGCACAGCACCCTTCCTGATTGCGCACCACACGATGGGATGATTTTCGGAATCCAAATCCGCTAGGGCACCAGTGGGCGGATGGAGAATAATCAACACAATGGGAAGATATGGGTGGCATGGGGATAGGATGTCAGATATGGCGCGAGGGCATCTAGCTTGCCTCTCTCTCTCTCTCCTCCCTGCTCCTCCCCCTCCTTCTCTTGCCTCTCTGAACTCCTCCTCCGCCTCCTCCTGAATGATCCAATGGGAGAGACCTCGCGGAAAGGTGGCGACCTACAATCGGCGAGAGGTCCCCAGAGGGCACCAGGCGCGACAGACAGGACACAAGGGCACACTTGACACTCCAAGATCGACCTATCAGATCAGACCCGACCGTGCAGCCCTGGGGAGAGGGGGGGCAAATGCCGAGGACCTGCGAACCCGTCCTTCCGTCTCTGAGCCCCCAGTGTCCGTTGAATGGCGCGACGCTCCATGTCGGCAGCGCGCATGAAGGCGGCCCTTCGCGTTTGCTCCGCGGCCGCGATCTTCCTGGCGTGGTGCTCGGCGCTGGAGCCCTCCTCCCTGCCCTCCCGCCGCCCGCTGGCCGCCGCCCACTCCTCCATTTTGCGCGCCTCGTACTCCTCGCGCTCCTGAGCGGACTTGGCCAAGTTCGCCTGGCACTTGTCCCTCCTCGCCTCCGCCTCCTTCTTTATGGCCTTGATCCTGTCTTTTTGCTCTTTCTTGAAGCCTCCCATTCGGATCTCCAGCTCGCGCAGTTTCGCGTCGGCGTCTTCGGAGCGCTGCTTCTGCTGAAGGAAGCCCATCGCCACCGACTTCGCCTTCCTCTGCTGCTCCGCCTTGATCTTGGCGTACAGCCTCTTCGAAGACGCGAAGATGTCCTCGCCCGAGCTGTCGCCCAGCACTTGGTCGTCGGGCAAGTCCTCAGGCCTGACGTGGCAGACCCCGTCGCCCACGAAACGACCGTACCTCGGAGGGCGGGCACCAAAAAACGTACACGCGCGACCGCAGACTTCGGAAGTCCGCGGGCAAATTCTCCGCCGACGCCTGCTCCCAACCCCGGCGTGCGAAGCACGACAGGGCGATTGCCGCCCGACGGTGCGCAAGGAGGGGTCCGGCGCCGCCAGAGAAGTCGTCCGTGGACGTGCGCGTGCGTGCGTGTGTGTGTGTGTGTGTGTGTGTGTGTGTGCGTGTGTGTGTGTGTGTGTGTGTGTGTGTGTGTGCGGCTCCTTCGGCCTGCGACTTCTTGCGGCTCGCTGTCTTCAGCTCGCTCTCCCCGTCGTTCCTTGACGCACCCCCTCGTCGGTCCACACTTGCTTACTCGCTCTCCCCGCCTTCCAGTCCCAGTTGGCTTATGTCACTTTCAACTCTCACCATAGTTTCGTCTACGCATTGCTTCTCCCCGCCATTCAGGCCCGGACAGCTAAGGCTGCTGCCAGCTGCGGGACCCTAAGCGGTCTCCGAGAGCTCGGCTGGGCGTAGACGTGTGCGTGCCCCTGACTTTCTATGTCCAGTCGCCGCTCGCGGGGCCGCGACGCCAACAACAATGAATACACACACACACACGCACGCACGCACGCACGCACGCACGCACGCCCGCCCGCCCGCCCGCCCGCCCGCCCGCCCGCCCGCCCGCCCGCACGCACGCACGCACGCACGCACGCACGCACGCACGCACGCACGCACGCACGCCCCACCCGCCCGCACGCCCGCACCCGCCCCCGCCCGCACACGCACACGCACACGCACACGCACACGCACACGCACACGCACACGCACACGCACACGCACACGCACACGCACACGCATCACGCACACGCACGCACGACACGCACACAACACACCACAAACACACACACCAAAACCAACACACACAACACACACACACAACACACACAACACACACACAAAACACACACATACACCACGCACACACACACACACGCTACACACGCAACACGCAAACACGCAAACAGCACACACACACAAACACGCACGCACACACACCACACACGAACGCACGAACGCAAAGCACGCTAAGCACGCACGCACGCACGACGCAACGCAAGCAGGCACGCACTCACGCACGCACGCACGCACGCACACACACACACACACACACACACACACACACACACACACACACACACACACACACACACACACACGCGCACGCGCACACACACACACACACACACACACATATCACGTATGCATATATATATATATATATATATATATATATATAGATATATACTAGAACCACGCGCGCGCTTCGCGCGCGCTTAGGTTCTAGCTAGGAGGCGAGCTTGAGTCAACGAAAGTCGCAGGGAAGGGGGCAGGGGGAAGAAGGCCAGAGAGCGCTGAAGGATACAAATACTGGAACCCTCTTGTGATTTTGTGGGGGGCCTCGTCCGGCCGCTCGCTGGGAGTTTGACGTAGCTTCTCGGGAGCCTCTGAACCTGTCGGGGGCCTCCTGGAAGCAGGTTCGAAGCATTTTGGGGGCCGATTTGGGGCTTCTCGGGGCCTCCTTTGGGCCTCTTGGGGGTCTCCTGGGGCCTCTTGAGGGGCCTCCTTGGGGCCTCCTGGCGGCCTCTTGGGGCGGAAGGCTCGAGCTTGCGGTTCGTGGTCCCCCTCTGGGCCCCCTCTTGGGCCCGTCTTGGGGCCCTCTTGGGCCATCTTGGGCGCCTCTTGGGCCGTCTTGGGGCCCTCTTGGGCTGTCCTGGGGCCCTCTTGGAAGCTTCTTGGGCCGTCTTGGGGCGGTCTTGGGCGCCTCTTGGGCCGTCTTGGACGCGGTGTAAGCCCAAGAGGCGAACATGCGAAAAATATACGTTTTCCCATAGGAATGGCACGATTTTTGCTTCTTGGGCCTCTCTTGGGCTGCCTCTCGGAGCGTCTTGGAGGCTTCTGGGACCTTCTTGGTGTCATGACAGGCGTCTTGGAAGGCATCTGGAGCCATCGGAGCGCGTTCCGAAGCCGCCTGCGAACGATCTTGGACGGCGTCCGGCGGTCCGACGAGCCTCCGGGCCCCCCGGGGCCCACATTTGTGGTCGAGGTCCGGCCCCGGGCCCCCGGACCCGGTGCGCCGTTATATATATATATATATATATATAATATATGCATATATATATATATATATATATATATATATATAATATATATATCTGTCTGTGTGTGTGTGTGTGGTGTGTGTGTGTGCGTGCGTGCGTGCGTGCGTGCGTGCGTGCGTGCGCGTGTGCGCGCTTTTCTGTCCTTGTACCGCTTAGGCGTGGTCTTCTGGAATTTTCAGGACTGCTCGCCGCTTCACGAGAAGCTAAGTCGTTTGCTTTGAGGGTTAAACCCCATCGTGCATCCGCTGGTTGGACTCTTTGTCGCGTCGGAGGAGAACGCGCGCGTGTATGTATGTGTGTGTGTGTGTGTGTCTGTGTGTGTGTGTGTGTGTGTGTGCGTGTGTGTGTCGCCGCGCGCGCGCGCGCCCGTCCGTTCGGTGACGTTCTCCGCCTCGACGCTGCGCGCGAGGTCGCGACCGCCAACTGTGTATACATATCTATCTATCTCTCTAACTACCTATCTATATACTAGAGCCATGCGCGCGTTTCGCGCGCTTGGGTTCTAGCACAACCCACGCCAACGTCACAGGATCGGGTGAGGATGGGTATCATCCGGCAAGGATCATCATATGGGACCGCACTTCCTGATGGGCGCTGCATGAATTTCTGAATACGCAGCCCCAAGGAGCTCCTGCTGCCCTGAGCAGATACGCCGAGCAGCTGTCCGAATGTGATTTTTGGGAGGCTTCGGGGGGCTCGTGGCCCGTGGACCGTCTTCAACGGTCTTGAAGATCTCATGACCGTCTCGAGAGCCCCTCGAACTATCTCGGAAGTGCCTTCGGAGATCACTTGGTAATCCCGGGGGTCAATGATACGGGAGAGTTCCCAACATCGAAGGGCTGCCAGGGTCAGTGCACGCCGTCTTGGGCGCGGCCTTGGGGATCCCTTACGCCGTATTGTGAATTGCTGGGGCACGTTAAGATGTTGCACGCCACGGTGCAAGGCAAATGACGCGGCTCACTCTTCTCATGGAGGCGACGTCCAGCACGACTTCGCGCCACAGGTACGCGTGCATGGCGAATCACCCAGCTGTTTTTTCCCAACCATCCTGTGGTGTTGGGTCCTCGTTTTGAAGAGACAGCGCCCCGCGTCCCACCTTCCTTCCTCCTCCTCCCCCTCCTCCTTCCTCCCCCTCCTTGCCTCTGCTCTCGACACACCTCTCACACGCTTCGTAGCCCCATAGGGAGCTCCACCAAAGGCCCCATTGGCTGCTCTCGCATGCGGTTCCCCCACCCAGGGCAGCGTTTCGTGGCCCCATAGAGAGCTCCACCGAAGGCCCCAGTGGCTGCTCTCGCATGCGGTTCCCCCACCCACGGCAGCGCTTCGTGGCCCCATGGGGAGCTCCACCGAAGGCCCCAGTGGCTGCTCTCCCATGCGGTTCTCCCGCCAAGGGCAGCGCTTCGTGGCCCCATAGGGAGCTCCACCGAAGGCACCAGTGGCTGCTCTCGCATGCGGTTCCCCCACCCAGGGCAGCGTTTCGTGGCCCCATGGGGAGCTTCACCGAAGGCCGCAGTGGCTGCTCTCGCATGCGGTTCCCCTGCCCAGGGCAGCGTTTCGTGGCTCCATAGGGAGCTCCACCGAGGCCCCAGTGGCTGCTCTCGCATGCGGTTCCCCCACCCAGGGCAGCGTTTCGTGGCCCCATAGGGAGCTCCACCGAAGGCCCCAGTGGCTGCTCTCGCATGCGGTTCCCCCGCCCAGGGCAGCGTTTCGTGGCCCCATAGGGAGCTCACCGAAAGCCCCAGTGGCTACTCTCGCATGCGGTTCCCCCTCCCAGGGCAGCGCTTCGTGGCCCCATGGGGAGCTCCACCGAAGGCCCCAGTGGGTGCTCTCGCATGCGGTTCCCCCATCCAGGGCAGCGCTTCGTGGCCCCATAAGGAGCTCCACCGAAGGCACCAGTGGCTGCTCTCGCATGTGCGTCCCCCGCCCAGGGCAGCGTTTCGTGGCCCCATAGGGAGCTCCACCGAAGGCACCAGTGGCTGCTCTCGCATGCGCTTCCCCCACCCAGGGCAGCGCTTCGTGGCCCCATGGGGAGCTCCACCGAATGCCCCAGTGGCTGCTCTCGCATGCGGTTCCCCCACCAAAGGCATCGTTTCGTGGCCCCATCGGGAGCTCCACCGAAGGCCCCCGTGGCTGCTCTCGCATGCGGTTCGCCCTCCCAGGGCAGCGTTTCGTGGCCCCATAGGGAGCTCCACCGAACGCCCCCGTGGCGCAGTTCACGTGCTGTTCCCCCGCCCAAGGCAGCGTGCGTTTCTTGGCCCCATAAGGGGGCTCCACCGAATGCCTCAGTGGCTGCTCTCGCGTGCGGTTCCCCCCGCCCAGGGCAGCGTTTCGTGGCCCCATAGGAGCTCCACCGAAGGCCCCGGTGGCTGCTCTCGCATGCGGTTCCCCCCACCCAGGGCAGCGCTTCGTGGCCCCATAGGGAGCTCCACCGAAGGCCCCAGTGGCTGCTCTCGCGTGCGGTTCCCCCGCCCAGGGCAGCGCTTCGTGGCCCCATAGGGAACTTCACCGAATGCCCCAGTGGCTGCTCTCGCTTGCGGTTCCCCCACCCAGGGCAGCGTTTCGTGGCCCCATGGGGAGCTTCACCGAAGGCCCCATTGGCTGCTCTCGCATGCGGTTCCCCCGCCCAGGGCAGCGTTTCGTGGCCCCATAGGGAGCTCAACCGAAGGCCCGAGTGGCTACTCTCGCATGCGGTTCCCCCACTCAGGGCAGCGCTTCGTGGCCCCATAGGGAGCTCTACCGAAGGCCCCAATTGCGCAGTTCGCATGCGGTTCCCCCGCCCAGGGCAGCGTTTCGTGGCCCGATAGGGAGCTCCACCGAAGGCCCGCCCCAGTGGCGCAGTTCGCATGCGGTTCCCCCGCC